TGTCAACATAAAATTACAGAGAATGATCAATCCACAACAGGCTGAAATGGAAATGCTACACTGAATTCAATCAAACATACCTTTGGGATGAATCGGTAGGTTACAGAACAATGCAAGAGCTCAATGTTGTCAATGAGTGCACATGTTTTGCTACAAATATTTTGACCAGTGACAAAAAAGAGTACCAAAGCAAAAGCAATAAACCTAGATAGGAGCCAGACCTAACACAAACCAAAAACCAAACTAACCAACGCATCTCCCACAGATCAGCAGCAACCAACCATGCAATAGGCAGCCACCATTAGGAGAGCAGAACCCATAGAGCAAAACACAAAACATCACAATCAAGAAACTAAACAGACGAAATAAAAGACAACTGCAGCACACCAAAGAGCAAACACAGGCATTTAATTCTATAAGAGTACTCCTTTTCACCCAGACCAGCAGCACAGATTAGCAGCACTCCTTTTCCCCGACAGCAGCACATCAGATTCTTGCAGATATCTACCAAGATCATAACATAATACTATTGTTGTTTCATTCTCTCACACATATCATCCTACACACAGCAATACAAATTTCAGAGCTGCAAAACTTCAGGACTCTGCAAACTAGAACAAGCTACCCCAAAACACAACAGCAACCCCAACAGAGGCAAGAACATCAGCAGCAGAGGTCACAAATGCAAAACTCAGAACAGCATCAGTGTTTCACAGATGCAAAACTCAGATGCACAGCCTAGAAGAATCACAAAATGCACAACAGCACACCCATTCCAACAACCACACAATCAATCCATCCACCCATATAAATCAACAGAACTACAAATACTGAGAGCAACCAAGCCTAACCTAACAAACCAGAATATCAACAAATCAACAAGAACTATATATGTAAAGCCTTCATGTTCTATTGATCCTTGATTTAGGCAATTTTTTTTCTTAAGGTTAATGGATCATCTATCATGCTATATTAACTAACTTTGATTCCATCCAAAGCCTTTGAGAATCCTTTATATATATATATATATTTATACCTCTAGTCGAACTACTGAGAAAGCTTTCGGCGTGTTCTATGATGTAATGTCTTCTTTTTCCAGATTTTTCTATTTTTCTTGCTTGATTTCTGTCAAATATGAAATTTATTTAAGATGTTATAAAAAAATTATCAATATAAACATTTTTTCCACATAAATAAAATTTTACCGATGCACTTTGAGTGCCCCAATAGAAGACCAAAAGCCCGCCACTGATCCTCATGTACTCTATCTGGTCGATGAGCCAACCGTTCTGCATCATTCTTGAAGGGTTTGTATCCCATTGTTTTCACTCGACTTTTCCAATCTCTCCATTTCTTTCCAAATGAAGCCATTATTGTTCTCTTCATGGATTCATCTGCATCCGTATGAGCCTGCATTACAATTATATACACTTGTAATATGCAATGTCAACTACACTTCTAATATGCATTTCATATGGAATACAATTGTAACTTATTTCATATTAAATATCCATATATACCTTTATCTCCCTCCATACGTTATCTTTGTTTTGTTTGGAACATAATGCCAAGTGGTAAAAGTGAGTGGTGCAAGACTCTCATCTCGTGCCAAATGCCCAAATGTGAAGCAAGGGATGTGTGTCCTTCAACTACTTGATTCAACTCATTTGGAACAACTTTTAAAATGCCATCTTCACTAGTACCCCATTGACCATGCACATATGTGGGACCCCTTGTCTGCTTTTGTGTGGCTTGACTTGAGCTAGGACCTACAAAACACAGATACATGGTATGCCAAATCAGTAAATGTTTACCATTGCTAGCGAGTTAGAAATCATCACGCTGCAGTGTGTGTCAAAGAAGCCTATTTATCAGCACACCTGAGTTAAAGAATGGTTGCTGTTAGGACCCATTAAAATGAGCCTCTGCAAGAAGAGTTTGGCAACAGTGATTGCCATTGAAAGAATGGTTGTAGTTAGGGCCCTACCAAATTTTGAGTGTAATATGTGTGAATGTGTTTGATTTGGAATTTTTAAACTTTTTTTAAGGTATTCCTTGATTTTGATTTCAAGTGCCCTTTTCTGATTAAAACCCCTAGAGCTTTGGACAGGGGAATATATAGTGGATTTGTATGTTAGTTTTATTACAGGTATTTGAATGGGAGTTAATAGTTTGTATGTTAGTTTTATTACAGGTATTTTTTTATTAATTGAATGAGAAATTAAATTCAATATTTTCTTACAGGTATTCTTTTTAATTTAATCAAATAAAATTAGCACAATATCAAAAAAAAAAAGAAAAGATATGACGGCGTTTCTACAAACAACTCCTAAACCCGCAACAGTAACGGTTATATTTTTAAAACAGATACGGCGGCGTTTCAAAAACGTCGCTAAATATTGTTGGTGACGTCAGCGTGTGTATAGTGGGACATTTGGCGGCGTTTAAAAAACGCCGCCTATACTAATATCACGACGTTTTTAAAACGTCGCAAAGCTACAGCGACAGCCGCAGCTTCGACATTTGGTACTAAATGCCACAAAAGGAATTAGGGGCGTTTTTGATACATATGGCGGCGTTTAAAAAACGCCGCTAAAAGTCCGATTTCTAGCAGTGAACCTTCTTCCCACCTATATCCGACAGATAATCGATGTGCTTTCCTTCAAGCTCTCGAAAAGTGTTGTACAACACAATCTTGCAAGGTGGTTTCATTTCAGGTTGATCATTTACATGGGCAGCTTGTTTCTCTTTGGATTTTTGTTGTGGCATTCCCGATCATATGGTGAAACCGTGTTTCGTGGAATCTAGAAAGCTAAATTGTTGGAAAAATGGTTTAATGTAGGCATATTTTTTAGCCCAATTTTAAGTGGGCCCCAAACGTTGTTTGGGGTGGGTCCGACGAGATGAAGTGTTCATTGCCGCGTGGCAAGTCACACGGTGAATACGGAACATTAAAACCATTTATGAGTGAATGGGAAGTTGACGTCGTTTTCGGGTCGAACATTAATTTTTTAGATAAAATTCATTTGAATTTTTTCAAAAAAAAAAAAAAAATTTATTGTGAGAATTTAATTTAATTCTAAATTCAAAATTTGGGTTCCTAAGTGGTTTCCTAAAGTTTGTAATTTTGGGAATTTAATTTAATTCTAAACTCAAATAGTGGTTTCCTAAAGTTTGTCAAATAGATTAATATTTATATTCTAAATATTGTTTTATTAAATCTATTTAACTTTTGGCTTTATTTGATTAAACTATTCTAAATAGTTTAATAAATATATATATTCCAACTGTTTTGAATCTAGTACCAACGGATCTTTCCTTTTCACATGCTTGAATATTTGTGTGCTAGTGTAACGGTCACAGAATTTGTTTGAATTCAAATTCTGAAACTGTCCATAATTTGCACCTGTTCACTACATGTTTTGCACTTGTTCGGGACAGCATTTGTGTGCCTATATATACCTACTTTCAGCAGTGTTTACGGGATCCGAAATTTATTCTGCATGTTTGATATTGCTGTCCAGATTTCATTTGTATGCATTACTCTTCATTTTAGATTTAGAATAAATTAAAGAGAGTATAGAACACAAGGTTTGGTTCGTCGTACAATTTTGTTTGGTGTGCTACAACAATTTTGTGAAGATCATTGTATCTTGGGAGATAAACGCCACTCAACCGTAAGCACCGTAGCAGGGCGAATCTGTCTTAAGGACAGAGTTTCACACACTTGACTTGGTCTTAATTTTAATTCGGTTCGATAAATAAATATGGTATGTTATTTATTTATTTTGTTTGAGTTTATTTCAAGTTATTTTATTTACACAGAAGATTGTTCCAATAATCTTAAGACAGATCAAATTATTCTGTTTACAAAATTTTTCGTTTGTTTCATTTTCTCTTTCTTTGTTTAAGAAAATTATTTTCTGTGGATTTACAAAATAATATTCTGGTTGGAAAAACAAATAGTGATTATGTGCTATTTGATAGATAGTAGTAATATACTGTCTCTTTTCTTTGACAACAACTAGTAGTACGATACTGGTGTCATTAACAATTTAGAATATATTTTTGTGGAATTTTTTCAGAAATTAATTTTGGATTTTAGAAATTATTTTCTAAGTTTTCATTACTTAAAATTCTATTTTAGTATTTTAATTATTGAAGTGCTACAGAAATTAATTTTCTGTGTGGAATTAATTTCGTTGAATAAAATTTTATTATTCTTCGTAAATAATTTCGGAAGAAAATTATTTTCTGTGGATTTACAAAATAATATTCTGGTTGGAAAAACAAATAGTGATTATGTACTATTTGACAAATAGTAGTAATATACTGTCTCTTTTCTTTGACAACAACTAGTAGTACGATACTGGTGTCATTAACAATTTAGAATATATTTTTGTGGAATTTTTTCAAAAATTAATTTTGGATTTTAGAAATTATTTTCTGAGTTTTCATTACTTAAAATTCTGTTTTAGTATTTTAATTATTGAAGTGTTACAGAAATTTATATCTGTAGTTTTGGTTTAATTTGTTTAAATAAAATTTTATTTTATTTTCAAATTAATTGGAAATAAAAGTTACAATTTTTGTTTCTTTTATTTATTGCAGAATTTAAAATTCTGTGTTTTTTGGTTTTAATTTTCTGTACAGTATTAAATTCTAATTATAATTGTGGTTTATAATTTAAAATTTATGGCTACTAAAACTGGTCAAACTAATGTTCAAACCAGTACTGGTATGGTGATTTCCATTACGCCAACCTCTCCTTATGTTGGGACTATGCCAGTGAATCATGGTGAAAAACCAGGAAAGTTCTTAGGAACTGTTTTTAAAAGATGGTAGAAGAAAATACTATCTAAAGGAGGAGAAACTAAGAAGTACAAGTTTAATGGCATGTGCTACATTTGTAACAAAGAGGGACATCGGACCAAAGATTGTCGTTACAAACGTAAAGGCAAAGGAAGATCAAGTAAGATGGTTGCTAAAGCCAAAATGACCGAATTGGATAAAATTTCCAATGGTGTAGATGTCATCAATTTTTTTGCAGTTGTTTCCGAGGCAAATCTTGTCGGAAATCCTAAAGATTGGTGGGTGGATACTGGTGCTACTCGCCATATCTGTGCCGACAAAAAGATGTTCACATCTTATTCTACAGTGGACACTGGTGAACAACTTTTTATGGACAACTCCTCAACTTCCAAAGTTGAAGGACAATGGAAGATTGTTCTGAAAATGACATCAGGAAAGGAACTCACTCTCAACAATGTGCTGCATGTACCAGACATTCCCAAGAATTTAGTTTCCGGATCTTTGTTGAGTAAGAATGGGTTTAGACTAGTTTTTGAAAGTGACAAGTTTGTACTTACCAAAAACGAGATGTATGTAGGAAAATGTTACATGTCTGATGGCCTTTTCAAGTTAAATGTAATGACTGTTGTACCCTCAGTTATTAATAATAATACATCTTCTTTTTACTTGCTTGAGTCTTCAAATTTATGACATGATAGACTAGGACATGTTAATTATGGATCTATACGTAGATTAATTAATATGGAATGTTTACCTAAATTTGATATTGATTCACATCATAAATATGAAATTTGTGTTGAGACAAAATTATCTAAAACTCCTTTTCATTCAATTGAAAGAAGTACAGAACCACTTGAATTCATTCATAGTGACATTTGTGATTTTAAATCAATTCAAACTAGAGGTGGGAAAAAGTACTCTATCACTTTTATAGATGATTATACTAGATATAGTTATGTTTATTTAATTCGAACCAAGGATGAAACTTTGGAAACTTTCATTCAATATAAGAATGAAGTTGAAAATCAACTTGGAAAATATATCCTAAGTTTCAAACCTACAACATTTTGTACCATTTCTGAAAATGATCAAAAATCAAAATTTTCGTTTTGCTTTTCTTTATTGAAGTAAATCTTTTCTTACTCACCTCAGCAAAATGGAATTGCTGAAAGGAAAAATAGGACTTTAAAAGAAATGATGAATGCCATGTTAATAAGTTCTGGATTACCTCAGAACTTGTGAGGGGAAGCAATACTTTCTGCTAATTACATTTTAAATAAAGTACTCCGGAAAAAAGTGAATCAAACACTTTATGAATTGTGGCATGGAAGAGTATCATCCTACAAATACTTAAAAGTGTAGGGGTGTTTGGCTAAAGTGGCTATTCCTAGTCCTAAAAAGACTAAGATAGGTCCTAAGACCATTGATTGCATTTTCATTGGTTATGCCAAGAATAGTATTGCATATTGGTTTTTGATTTATAAATCAAAATATTTCGAAATGCATGTAAATACTATTATTGAATCAAGGAATGCATCTTTCTTTGAACATATATTTCCAAATAAGACTGGACAAGAGACTAGTAACAATAAAAGATCTCATAATGCTATTACTAGTCAGGATCAAGAACATGATCAAGAATAAGAGTTAGATCAAAATGAGGAAGAGGAACCTAGGCGTAGTAAACGTGCTAGAACCTCAAAATCTTTTGGTCCAGATTTTCTAATATATTTGTTAGAATTGAGAGGCTTGTCACCCATTGAAACTTGAAGAGAGTTTTGTTGTTTAGACAAAAAGAAGGTCTTGATTACTTTGACATGTACTCACCGGTTACTAGAATAACATCTATTAGAATGCTAATTGCCATTGCATCTCTGTACAATCTAGAAATTCATCAAATGGATGTTAAAACCGCTTTCTTAAATGGTGAGTTAAATGAAGAAATTTACATGGAACAACCAGAAGGGTTTTCTGTTCCAGGGAAAGAAAAGAAAGTGTGTAAATTGGTTAAATCATTATATGGTTTAAAACAAGCGCCAAAGCAATGGCATGAGAAATTTGACAAAGCAATGATGTCAAATGGATTTAAAATTAATGAGTGTGACAAATGTGTTTATATTAAAAACACAGACAAATGTTATGTCATTGTATGTCTTTATGTAGATGATATGCTTATCATTGGTAGTAATAATGACATGATTAAACTACCAAGAAAATGTTGAATAAACATTTTGACATGAAGGACATGGTCATTGCTGATGTAATTCTTGGTATGAAAATTACCAAAACATCAGAAGGATATGCTTTGTCACAATCTCGTTACATTGAGAAAACACTTGACAAATTCAACAAAGATGATGATCATCTTGCTAGAACACCTGTAGATGTTAATTTGTATCTTTCTAAGAATATACAGGAAAGTATTTCTCAATTAGAGTATGCCCAAATTATTGGAAGCTTAATATACTTGATGAACTGCACTCGCCCATATATAGCTTATGCAGTAAGTAAATTAAGTACATATACGAGTAACCCAGGAGTAGAACACTGGAAAACAATTATAAAGGTTCTAAGATATCTTCGATTTACTCGTAACATTGGGCTGAATTTTACTAGATATCCAGCAGTACATGAAGGATACTGCGATGCAAATTGGATATCGGATACTAGAGACTCAAAGTCCACTAGTGGGTATGTCTTTACTCTTGGTGGGACGGCTGTATCTTGGAAATCTTCCAAACAGGCTTGCATTGCTAGGTCTACTATGAAATCAGAATTCATAGCTTTAGACAAAGCAGGGGAAGAGGCAGAATGGCTTCACCACTTCCTTGAAGATATTCCAATTTGGCCAAAACTGGTGCCTGCTATATGCATACATTGCGATGGTCAATTAGCTATAGGTAGAGCACAGAGTCATATATATAACGGTAAGTCACGACACATTCGTTGTCGACATA